GATGGGCCCCTGAAGGTCAACCCAGGCCCTTTAAGGTCCTCATCGGGTCCTGTTCTGCAGATCTACCCGCGAAAGTGAAATATGAGTTTGTTAGCGTAACGAAAAATGTGTACCTGTAGTCAAATCTGTAGTTCTCCATTGCAGTGAATGGACGTATACTTGATTCACTTATTGTCTTTTTGTTTTTTTAAGACTTTAAAATGTCTCACGATTCAATTTTACCCTGATACAAGCCGTATTTCTGCCTTAAACCATCCAATGCTTTGTTCCCGTCTCAAATGAATATAAGCGATATAACAAGAAGGCACACAAAAATGGGGACGTAAAAATGATAAAGGTCTGCGGAATCTTTATTCAACCCTGTTTCAGGACTAGCATGAAATTGATGTTATTCTTCAAGGGAAAATATTTAAGGGATAGTTCACCCAAAAATTAAAATTCGGTCATCATTTATGAACCATTGACGGTAGCCATTGACTTCCATAGTATTTTTGTTTTTCTATACTATAGAAGTCAATGCCTACCGTCAACATTTGTTATCATCTACAGAAGAAACAAACTCATACATGTTTGGAACAACTTGAGGGTAAATGATGACAATGTTAATTTTTTGGGTGAACTCTCCCTTTAAAAGATCACTAAAAGGGTCACTGTAGAATGTTTGTTCAGATTTGTTTTTAAAAAGGCAAAACATTATTTGTAATATTTTATGTAATCTGTGTGAAAAAAAACAAGACAGCGTAACCTAAACCAAACCGAAAAGTGACAAAATGGGATGGGAAATTTGAATTCTTTGTAAAATACAACATGCAGGACTCAAAATGTCCTTATTTTTGAACATCGTCCATTTATCCTCAACAAAAGTCAAAGTTCTTCCTTTTTTTGTGTAATTGTATGTCTTTTCAGTGTTTTAAACCACCATCAAGCGATCTTCGTGTGAGTTATGGGACCTGAGGGCCTTGCTTTTATATGAAATGTAGAATCGAGTAAGGAATGGCTTTATCGACGGCCCATCGTGACTGACCTTCCCGTCATTTAACGTCGCTCGAGTGTATTTGTGTGTGCTGGTGGGCGGTGGAAGAAAGATGAAGAAGTTGAAAAGAAAAAAGAATCATGTTGCATATCAAGCGGTTTATTTTCCTGCATGGAATGGTGAACACAAAAAGATGCCTAGATGCATTTATAATAGGGGCATCCTTTGGCTGTCTATGTCATTGTCTTCTGCCTAAAACTAATTTTAAAATGCATAAAAACGCTCTCTTCTTACCAACATCCTCAGAATTATCTAGATTTAGCTTCATCAACACTGATGCAACAAATAACCTTCAAAACATACAGCATACTTGTAACATCCATTTACAATGGGGTTTTCACCTCAGCATCCTACACTTTTCAAGTATAGGAATACTTCTATACCATCGAAAGAAGAAATAAGTCCTTAAATACATACAAAAAGGAAAGCAAAAAGCAAAAAAAAAAAAGAAGGGAAACAGGAAGTTTTCAACTTAAATCCAGTTCCCCAGAGGACAAACAAAACCAGTTCTATTTTTGTGGCCTTAATACAAACAATCAGAAAATTCACAACACTAGTTTTTCCTCATTTAATCAATGTTACAAAAGTCCTGCATTATAAAATAGGGCAGCTTTAAAATCAGTGTAATTAATAAAACTATACAATATACAAACATCAAATCTCCCATACGGTGCGTCCGCCCTAACTCTCGTATCTAATCGATTCGGTTTGTTCGCTTCTCCCGCGTCTTCTCCAATGTTGTACCAAAAAACTAAATTACACACACAACACGAGAACAAAACAGACTGCCCAAACTATTGCTTGAAATTCTTTTTCTCTTTTTTTTCTTTCTTTAAAAAGGGTGCAATTTTGTCATTATCTTACACACACAGCCAATCTTGCTGATTAGATGCCAGGCTGCTCAAACAAGGTTTCTGTGACGAAAAAATATCCGTGCAATCGTGTTTCCCTTCGCTCTTTTAAGCCCTGGACATTTTTTTCCCTTATATGATATATGCAATAGAAAATAAACCAGTAAACAATTAATATAACATGGAACTTTGTCAAAATGTACAAAAACTGGGCATATATTTTGTCCTGGACGTGTTCGCTCTTGCGTGTTTATGATGGAAAGGAAGTTTCCTTGTTTTTAAGGCTTGATTATGACCGAAAAAAACACAAAGTATGCGAAAACATTGATGACTGGTTGTGTGAAACCCAAACGAGGCTGATCAATGGCATTTTCTCGTGTCATGTGCATGAAAAACACACTGACGTTCAGCCACTTGACCGGTCAAGTGCTCACTGGTTGTAAAAAATATATAAAAGAAAAGAAAAAAAAAAGTGTACATGAGTGCAAGCAAGTATTGCATATTAATCTCATTATTATCATTATTCATCTCTGGGAACGAAAAAAAAAGAAAGACTGAAAAGAAAAAGCAGTCGTTATTTAGAAATTGCAGCAACATCCATAAATATCCATACACTACTGTTAAATCAGAGAAAAAGGGCTTGATGACATAAAAACCTTCATATTACGCTTTTTCTTGGGCGAATGATTGACTTTCGACTGACTGAAGTGTAAACCATGGGGTTTTTGAAGCAATGGATAACCGAAAGTGGCGATATGTAGTTAAATGGAGAGTAATACTGTGTATTATCAATTAGCAATCATTTCACTCTCTCCAAATTGACTACATGTGAAAGGTGGGGTGAAAAGGTAAAAAATAGTCTCCACATTGCAGCTTGTGCAATAAATCAGAACTAGACCATCGCTCAAGGCACATCGATGGGGAATTGTTCGTGCAGTTTGAAAGGGACGATGAAGTGTGTACATATGAAAATGATTGTTCTGACGGGAATAAAGGAGGAAGGGAGACTTTATAGAAATGACGACAAGCTAAGAAGAGTCAGAGAGATGTTTAGCTGGTTGATTGTGAGAACAGCAGTAAAAATACCCTTTTTTTAAAGGACCAAACAAATACTTGATCGGCAAGTGCCCGATGTTGGGATTACAATATTTTTCCACACTACTTTAACTCTACGTAATCTATGTAAAAATTTGTCACTAACACTAGAACATGCAGATTATTTTCTTACATTTTTTGAAAAACTTTACTGAGCTTCGATCGACGGTGGATGAGACTGTAAGTGTATATATTTATATATATATATGTTTCGTACAGGAAATGAACGAAAACGTAAACTCAAAAGACCAACAAAAATTGCATGCGAGAGAAGCTGGATGCATTTTTTGATCTTCACATTTTTGAGCGACACTTTCGAAAGTGCCTGCGAGGAAGTTAGTTCAGTATTTCGCCTCTTGCGTTCGCGTTCAAATGAATTGAAACAGTCAATTTTTACTTTCATCATTTCGCAAATGCTATTTTTCTTACAGTATGTATTTCATTATGCGCTCAGTTAAATTAAAATAATTGCTGTAGCGTTTTGGAAACTAAATTGATTGTTTAAACGTTGATATTTCTTAAAGGAATATTTGTTCTACAATTCTAACAAAAGATGAACAAACAAACACATAAAAAACAACAACAGAAAAATCAATTACAGCTCCCCTTATATCTCACAAGGCTATTTGTTCTATTTTTCTCTTTACGTGTTTTTTTTTCTTTTTTGTACCCCTATATTTTAGAGTCCTGGAGGTGTGAATGGACTAGGAAGAAAAATATATATATATTTATATATACTTTTCAACAATCGCTTCAACGATCTATCTTACAGATGCATTTTTTGATCTTCACATTTTTGAGCGACACTTTTGAAAGTGCCTGCGAGGAAGTTAGTTCAGTATTTCGCCTCTTGCGTTCGCGTTCAAATTAATTGAAACAGTCAATTTTTACTTTCATCATTTCGCAAATGGCTATTTTTCTTACAGTATGTATTTCATTATGCGCTCGGTTAAATTAAAATAATTGCTGTAGCGTTTTGGAAACTAAATTGATTGTTTAAACGTTGATATTTCTTAAAGGAATATTTGTTCTACAATTCTAACAAAAGATGAACAAACAAACACATAAAAAACAACAACAGAAAAATCAATTACAGCTCCCCTTATATCTCACAAGGCTATTTGTTCTATTTTTCTCTTTACGTGTTTTTTTTTCTTTTTTGTACCCCTATATTTTAGAGTCCTGGAGGTGTGAATGGACTAGGAAGAAAAATATATATATATTTATATATACTTTTCAACAATCGCTTCAACGATCTATCTTACAAAGATATTTAACAATCCAACATCTACCCAACAAAATTGCACTTTCCTCAATTCAGTATTCACGATTAACCTTTTCTTGAAGTTTATGGAAGATTGAACCTTCACTCGGCCCTTGGCGTGCGACAGACCTTCCGCTGGGGTTTATTAGAATCGCGATGATTTTTGTACGAAAAACACAAAATATGAACATGCCTCCAAGTGGGGAGATCTCCCGTTAGCATACCGTAAAATGACCTGATTTCAAACATCACCATTCATGACTTCATCGCCTGCCCCAAAATGACACAAAACAACTGAAAAAAAAAATGGGTTTGGTTAAGTCCTTGACAGTTCTTGATCTGACATGGTGTTGATGGTGGTGGTGATGATGGTGGAAGGGGGAGGAAATGGTCCTGGCCAGAAGACGCAATAGAGATTTTAGCTGGTGGCATATCTGACCCAGGCGAAACCTCCAACGTTCACCGATACGGAAACCGGATTGATCCGTCAAAACACGAGTGACTGAAAGGCAGAGCTCCGACCTCCAGGTGGTTGTGGGTTTGCGACCCTTGGCCGTAGACTGTGTTGGAAACGCCTTAGAATTCACTTTAAGGCCACAGGCACAGATGCGGGAAGCTCTTTGATTGCGCCATGTTACGTTTTCCTCGTCTATCTGTGAGGGTGAACCAAAAAACACAACAAAACCAAACAAACGAAGAAAAAAAACAAAAAAACATGCACGTTTCCGAGAAAAAGAAGCTCTTCTCTTTTTTTTTCCGAGCTCCACCCTCAGAAGAGCTGGACAGCTACTATATATGAATATAGGCGTGTAAACCATACATATGGAAGAATACATATGGACTATATAGATATATAGTAAGTGGGTGTAAGCGCGTTCCTCTTGTTCCAGGGCTTGGCGGGGTTCTGCTGGAGCCATGCTGTGGGTCTGTCCGGTACTGGGGCAGCAAGTGGCTTCTCTCTGTTCAGACTGGTGTACATGTTTGCGGGTCGTACTCAGGGGAGACAGAGGGGGTGGTCGTGTGACCTCGGGAGTGGCCGGTCCGTGTCGGGAGTCTTTAGCCCAGGTACCACTGCAATGAGACAGAGAGGAACAGATCGGTGAGGTTTGGTTTGCAACTTCAATGATTTCAGTGAACAATCAGTATCATCAGCAGTGTGTGAACTATATAATAACTTTCAAGTGTTAAGCTGGTTAATTTAGTTAATTTTGGGCATCAATCTGACTTTTGAAAATCATTATAATTTGAAATGTTATTACACTACTGTTCAAAAGTTTGGTGTCAGATTTAGTTTTTTTAACCCTTTAACTGATAACTCTGCTGTACGGTTGAGCTTAATTTGATAGGGAATAAATCTATCAAAAGGAAGAGATGAGAGAGCAATCTTTCCACAGCTGTACTGCCCCATCTCTGTGTCTGCTGTCGCCATGGGGGGTTGGGAATTTCCAGTTTTCAAGAGACAGCAGCAGTTTACAAACTTCAGTCAGTCACACAGAAGGGAGAATGGTGCTGGTCAGTCATCAGATAATAGGGTCAAACAAGCAATCAAGGAAGTAGGGATGAAACCATAATGTTGTTGTGAATAGGGTAGAGGGTAAAGAACAGAAATACAGCAAAATATATGAGAAATGCAAAAATGTTTATTTAACATAATTATCCAAAATCATGCGTTGATATCTCTGTAAAGGACATCATATAACATATATATTTCTATATGTCTATATATATTATAGAGACACTTAAATATAAATTTTTATCTTTGTGGACCCTAAAGGTTATGAAATGTATCCAAGATACTAATAAAGTTAAAGGAATGTTTATTATTGGAAAATAACTCATAGAAATAGTTCTCTGAATTTAAATCAAGATTTACCATGGACTGACAGCTCAACCGTACGAGTTTTATATAAAACATAAATTAAAAAAAAAGTGCTTAGGGCTATTTATTAGATGTCTACTAATAAGAATTTTAAGTTAAATAATTTTTTTTTTAATTAGCTCCTTTTAGGGGTGAACGTTAAAGGGTTAAAGAAATTAAATTTTTTTCAGCAAGGATGCATTAAATTGATAAAAAGTGACAGTAAAAAGATTTATATTTCAAATAAATGCTTCTTTTTTACCTTTCTGTTTCAGTATCAGTTTCCACAAAAATATGAAGCAGCACAACTGTTTTCATCATTGATAATAAAAATAAAATTTACTTGAGATCTGCAGATCTGCATATTAGAATGATTTCTGAAGGATCATGTGACACTGAAGACTGGAGTAATGATGCTGAAAATGTATCAGGAATAAATTACATTTTAAAATATCGTAGAAAACAGTTACTTTAAATTGTCATAATATTTCCTAATACTGCTGTTTTTACTGTATTTTTAATCAAATGCAGACTTGCTCAGCATAAGAGACTTTCAAAAACATTAAAATCGTATTGACCCCGACCCCAAGTCTGCTTTATCATTCTAATTAAAATACAAAAAAATAATTGTATTATATTTTTACTTATATTTCTAAAAATGTTTTTAAATCCCATTTAAAATAAATGTATAATATATTAATTACATTTTAATATATTAAATATAAATGTATTTTATTATTTATTTCATCATTTAATCATTGTATAATTTTCTAATTTTTATTTATTAAAGTTCATTTGTGATATAATTGCAATATGTAAAGCCATAACAAAACGTACTTTTTACCTTAATTAATACAGGTTCCTGATGTTATTGTGCAAGACTCATCAGTGCATGTTAATTAAAAAATAACTGTTTTATCATCAAAATTTATTTCCAACTACGTGTCATAAAAAGACCACTTTCATGATTCAATCACTTCTCAAAGGATAAAATCAGGTCTTGTCCTGCATTTCTTTTCTAGCTGAATATACACATTCAAAACTATTCCACACTGCAAAGAAAAAAAGTGACTGCAGTTTCATGTCAACTTAGACCCCCAATCCTTTTGTTTTTACCTTCCTTGGAAGGTTTAAGACTTGTTATAACTCCCAGACCTATAATTCATTCAGTATCTGTATTATAATGGCAAAAAGAAAAGCATAAACTGCTTGTTGTTTTCTTATCGGATCACTTATGTATCAGCGTGGTGAGGTCTTAAGACGGTGCTTGACTCTGTGAGGGCTCAGCTCAACAACATTGTCTCTTTTCCTGTTCCTGTCCATCTGTTCCCTGTCTCTGAATGCCTGTACAGCGCTTTCCGCCACACAGAGCACACGGCTGTCTGTGAACTGGAGTGGTGAGGTTAGCACGCTGCACCCCTGTAATCCTTCAGCGAAATGGGCTTATTGATTGCTGTGCTCCATTGTTCACGTTTCCAGCAAGTGAGCAAGTGTCGTTCGGTTCTGCCCACTTTTTTCACTTCGTTCTCCCCTCCCCTTTCCAACTTCCCTCCTCCCACCAAGTTCAAGTTCATCCTGGTGTTACATCATGTCTGGTTGCCAGGGACAACCAGACAGTCGTATACGTGACTATCATTAGCAAGGCCCTTATCCCTCTTTCTTTCTCTCCCTCTCTTATCACTCTTTCCCTGCTCCCTTTCTTGCTATTCTCTTTCTGGCTGGCGTTCTGTCCGAGCGATGCGATCCGCCCCGTCCCATCCAGCCCCTGCTGCAAATACACACGCTTTTGATTCAAAGTGTTCAGTGATTCGCTCTCTCCTCCCACAGCTCAGCTCATCATGCGTGCATGCTGTCCACCAATCAGCAGCCATGATTAATTAAGCCCACTGAGTTTTCAGCCAATCAGAATAAAGCGCTGAAGGACTGCCTTCTAATTACAAAACAAGGCTGTACACCAGAGTCACAATTTATTATTTTCTGTCATTATTGCACGCTTTATATAACTAATTGCAAAGTTTTATTCAATTAACCTCAATCGGCCCTTGGGGTCAATATGACCCCAATCAACTTTTACTTAGTTTAAAAAAATGGTTCCCTTCATCTCAGTGGAATAAGATTTTGTGACTTTTCACCATTTTATATCTAAATTCACATTAAAAAAAACTGGGCTTGATTCGGCTGTTCTGAAGGTATGTACATTTTTATTTTACAAATCTGTCCCTTGGGGTCAATATGACCCCACATTGAAATGAATGGGAAATGTGAAAAAATGTATATATATTTTTTTTAATTTGTCAAAAAAAAAAAATAAATCTGAAAATTTCCACACAGAAATGAAGGCCTGGTACTAGAGCACAAATGCAATGTATAAAAGACATGCTCACTCGACTAAAGAAAGGTTGGGAAACACTGGTCTAGGCTACACAGAAAGCTTCAACAGGCTAAATCGGTAAATGATCTAATGTAGTTAAGAAGAATGAAATGTGAGTGGCTTCTATCAGGTTGGAAATGTCCCAGACATCGGAGAGTAAGGCTCTAGCTCACGGCTCGTTTAAATTCTATTGCTCACCGCAAGTGCAGCGGAGAAACTGGAAGGTTAGTTTTTAATCAATAGAAGTTGCTGACTCTGGACTTCTGCGCTCCGGTGCAGTGCAGCTTCCTTGTGTCTTTGTCAATCGGCTCAACCGCTCTGAAACTTTTCCTCCCCATCCCCCCCTCCCTCTCCTGTCCTAAGAAGACTTTTGGAGACGGCGTTGTGCACAGAGAGCAGGAGCATGTTGGGTTCTCTCCGATACTCCCTGTAACTTTGTGGACAGTGGGCTTATGTTACAGCACAGAGACTGTGCTGACAGCTGTGATTTAGTCTGCAGATACGCAGCATGCAGGAGCACAGAGGGGAACCAGACAGACAGACAATAAAACGTGTGAAATTACAACCTGTCATTCTTGCGCTTGCAACACGGGCGGCCTTTCAGAACCAGAACAAACGCAGCTAAATAAAGAGAAAACAATCTTGTATAAATCAATTAGAAACTATATTTTGACACATTCTGTGGAATATCAGAGAGGTGCTTGCGAGAGATCAACTAATAATCATTTTTCATAGATCGACTGATATGATACAGATTATTTTACTGTTTAAGTAACCAATAACCAATATGCAAAACCGAATTAATTAATGCTTAATTTCTGACACAATACACAATGCTAAACAAGTAAATAATCATTAGACTACTACAATAAAAATACAAATTCTAAATATTATCAATAATAATGATGATTCTTGCCTTAGCAAGCAGCACTAATGAATCTTTTCATTGGCTCTCAGCTGTAAAAAGTCCTTTGCGGTGAAGAGGAACGCTGTGCCAGAGGAATTAAAGTGGTTTCACACACATCCGGATCAGTTTTATAGACTCTCAACTAATAAATGATGTTAAGATTTAATTAGGGGTGACAGAACCTAGATCGGTGTAAAAACGTACCCGGAATAAAACATCAAGTGTAAAAGGATCACTTCCTAACAAGGATCACTTCCCACAGAAAAAGTTGCACTGTGGGATAGTTCATCTTGGAAGACTTGGTTACACTTTATTTTAAGGAGTCCTTGTTACAGTGTAATTATATATAATTACACTGTAACAAGGACTCCTTACATATAAGTACTGAGTAATATTAATTAACTACATGTACTTACTATATGGTTAGGGTTAGGATTAGTGTTTGGCTTAGGGTTACTTGCATGTAATTATGCATAATTAATTGTTATTATAATAGTAAGTACATGTAACGTGTAACAAGGACACCTTAAAATAAAGTGTTACCGAAGACTTAAACACAACAGCAATCCCAGATTATGGGGTTCAACCTCTCAGTATCTCCTCCTTCATCTGTCAGGAGACCGAATCACGCTGCAGGCCCAGAAAGAGAGCGGGATTGGGATTGAAAAAGCAAGATTCAGCAGAAAAAAACAACGAAACGGTGGTGCGGGGAGAGCCAGACGTCCCGCGGGTCGCACACGAGATGATCCGCGATCACTGACCAACTTCGTACAACTGTACGATACCTCGGCCTGTTCAAACAACCATACAAACATGGTCTCAGAGCGGCATCTTAATGGACCGCTTCTTTTTCCTAAAGGTTCTGTTTGGACGGAGCTTCAAGCCACCCACACAGAGTCAACACTCGCTGCTGTTTGTGTTCGCTTTGGCAGGAA